CTTTTCTCTTCGGTCTCTTTCTCTGTCCTCTTTTTCACCTCCTTCGTCACTCTGTGGTTGAGCTCCGCGGCTATGGCCTTCTTCTTCTTCTTCGTGGAACTGCTCGACGGTCTTCACAGGTACGTGACAACCAATCTTGTATCGCTCAGCTCATCTCTCTTTCTCTCTCTCTCTTTCTCTCTCTCTCTTTCTCTTCTTCAACGCAGGTACGTGGTGAACCAATCTTGTATCGCTCGTCTCTCTCTCTCTCTCTCTCTCTCTCTCTCTCTCTCTCTCTCTCTCTCTCTCTCCCCGTAGCGATGTCTTCAATGCAGATACGTGGTGAACTAGTATCGCTCGTCTCTCTCTCTCTCTCTCTCTCTCTCTCTCTCTCTCTCTCTCTCTCTCTCTCTCTCTCTCTCTCTTCGTCCTCGTCGTCTTCTCTGCAGGTGCGAGCGGCGACTTCTTCAACCGGCGGATCCGCTATGGCGGACTGCTTCGCCGATGACGCCTTCGGCTATGGCGCATAACTCTCCCTATGGCACATGACCATCGCGCATGGAATAGCGGGTACCATCTCTGATACCAATTGCAATCAGACTCGCTTCTTTTCACACTTTACACACATGTAAACAAGTTGCGCAGCAAACTGGCGACAAGTGCCCACTTGAAACACAGAGATATGGTAACCAGGAACACAGTTCAAATACAATCTCACTTCAGATGGCTATGGCGCATCAGCGCCTGTACAAATCTATGTTCGTCACTCACTCGAGGTTGTTGTTCACACACAGGATCACCCTGGATATCCCACACGCATCACACTGTACACTCACGGACTCACACACGCTACACTCTTCTATCATATATGGCGGCTATGGTCGCTGCTACCCCTATCGCTATGACTAAGCTCTCCTTCTCTCCCACTTCTTCTTCGGGCTCATTGCATACCACCTCGCACAAGTCGTTGTGGCAACGTTTCCGCATGGCTTACGTAGGAATGAGTGAATGGTTGGGCGCTGCCTCTTGATTTATACTTTTGTATCTTGTTGGTCTGCCCCTTTCCCATGCCCGTGGTGCACACAGTCCCATGCGGTACTTGCTTGACTGAACTAGGACTGACTGGGACTGGGACTGCTGACTCAGCACGGGTGAACTCCACCACTTGTTCACTTGCCTCAGCCTAAACATGAGTAGCTTCGAAATACCAGTACCAGGACCTTCCGAAAGTTTCAGTCATGGCCTTTCGGATACTATAGCAGCTACGACCTTGACCTTTAAGAACTGTAGCAACTACAACCTTGACCTTTCAGAGGTCCTATAACTACAACTTCCAGAACTCCCTAAGACCACTATTCGACAGGTCTACAGATCGAACCCCTACAATCTACAGACCTTACGACAGTCTACCAACTGCTGCGAATACACAGGTCACGGGTTCAACTCTCGGGGTCAACACAGATACTGTACACAAGTAAGGTGAGGACTAAGGATCGAGCTATGGGATCTGCATCCGCTACTGCGAACAGGTGAATACCGTTTTAAGTTAGTTGCTGCAAGTGTGTGTTGCTCAGAGGTTGTTTCATAGCTATGATAAAATTTTGTCTTGACCTTTTTAGAACGTATTGAAAAATGAATGTCATAATGATTTTCACTTTTGACATTTTGATCATAGTATTGGAGATGATTTCTTGCCTTTTTTAGATGATTGAACATTTGTTGGTCCATGATTGGACAATTAAGAGAAAAAATCAGTAACTTTTCCACCAGAGGGTAGACTTACGTTTGTTGGTTCATGTGGACTTGGAGATGGTTTCTTGCCTCTTTGAGATTATTGAACATTCGTTGGTCAAGAAGGTGGTCAGATAGTGATTGATCCTCTTGTTATAAGACCAATATCAAATTTTTTATTGTGAATTTTATCTCCCTTGCGTGCATGATAGAGAAGTACTTGATTTTTTCTCTTGATTATGTAATTTATACATTGAATCATTGTACTTTCGATAGGTATGTGTATTTATGAGATGTCTAATAGTTCCATAATTATTCCACATATGAGGACAATGCGTGCAATTTGAGAGGATAGATGTTGAATTCATAAAAGTTTGGTCCCCTTGTGATGTGGGAGAAAAACAAAATCCTCATTGTTATATATTTGTGGTCAAAGGATTGACATGGGTTGGTTGTGAAAATTTCGGCTACCATTGTCAGTCCTTTTAGTGTTTATGAAATAAGGAAAATGTCAATTATTGAGTTGGAACAACTCATCTCGTCCCTAAACCTTAAACATGTGTATGCTCTTTTGTTTGGGTAAAATGTTTTGTAGATGTTGCAAAGTTGTAACTTTGGTGTGAACTGTATGACACAAAGTTGTTTAGTGTTATGACCCGGTGAACCGATTGAGAGAGAGATTTCTATCCAAATTTGGGTTTGTGGCTTTATTAAAATTATCAGCAACAATCAATTATCGTATGTTGGGGGTAATTGTTGCAAGTTTTGAAGGAAATACACATTGTCATTTGGGTCATTTTGGCCATAAAAACACTGATTACGCATCAATTATATGTTCACATATGATATGCAAGTATTATGTGTCCATGAAGTAGTGACATTGAAATATTGATTATCAAAAACATCCTCTTCCTTTCCATGCCTTTCCCTTCAGCATTTCATTTGGCAATCTGCCCACACCGGCATCGTAGCTATTTATCCGCATATTCACTCAATAGCTCTTGCTGTATTTTTGTGGGTCTGGCATATGGAAAACAAAGCTCCTATAATCTCCCATCGCATTGTGTTCATGCAAAAATGAGGTTGTGCTGAAAGCCTAGAGATATGTTACGACTTCTTGTGGTGACCAAGATCTTATACCACATTGACTTACCATGAGGGCACGAGTGTGCAACCCGTAGTTCGTTTGTTGATGGGGTTCAAGAAGGGTGATGTAGTGATTATGGTGTGCGCATGTTTTGCTATGTTCGTTGTACATAACTCGAAAAGTATATGTGGGGGGTTCTGGATGGTGCTCTATTAACGATGTTCATGGAACGCTGGACCCAGTTTCCAGCAGGTGCTCCTCCCCACCAATAGACAAAAAAATGTGTGTGTGTGTGTGTGTGTGTGTGTGTGTGTGTGTGTGTGTGTG